AAATTGTCATTGATGATTTATTCCGATTGCTTCGCATTCATATTGCTTGCTTATACTGTTGTAGAATATTCCAGCCAGAGCTATGGTTAACTGATTATTAGATGATTTGTATAACCTCTGTGTTGTTGATTAAATAACCAGGACAGCTTTTAACCTATTGATTAGATAATCTGAGTAACAACTGAATCACTGATTAAATAACTTAAACAACTTTTAAATCGTTGATTGGATAACCTGGATAACATCTGAATCGTTGAATAGATAATCCTTACAACTTTTAAATTGCTACGAGATGGTCTTGATAAATTCTGAATTAATGATTAGACAATCTGGACAAACTTTGATAACTTGGATGACTTGGCGAATTTCCGGGTTGTTGATTATATAGTTTTGGTGATATCTGAATTTCTGATTAGATAACCTGTGCAACTATATTGATTAAATAAAATGAAACTTCATTCCGATTAATTTTCATCTTTTCTCAAACGAATCCTAGTGACAACTATTAATTACTCCTTTTCACAACAAATTATAATTTGAAGTAATCATTTTTTAAATATTTATGCCGTTAACCATCCCAAATTCTCGTAAACCAATCTGTAATTATATACTTTTGTAGTTCATTCCGCTATTTCAGAAATGAACAAATCGGTCTTCATTTTTGTGCTAGCAAGTTTGGTGACATTAGCACGGGGATATGATTCAGATCAAATGCCTTTAATGGGAGACAAGGATCTTCAACAATTGAGCAAAGTTGATGACACGTTGCGAAATTGTTGTGTTAGACGGAAAGTTGGTGACAAATGCACAAATACGTTATGCAGTTTAAGTGGTGTCGCTCTTATGACAAGTGATGCGGTAATTTCAATTGCAATCTTCAAAATGTTTAAATCTCTGTGAAACCTTTGATTGTTACTATTTGTAAGTGCCGGAACATAATTTAGTTACTATTACCGGTAAATACCAGAATTGTTGTCATTGATGACATTATGTTAAGCAATGAATTTTCCATCAAAAAACTTTTTCACTTTTATTCTAAGCATTACAACCTATAAGTTAAATTAATATTATTGAGAATTGGTGAAATTAATTCTGATAACAGTGTAGGAAAATTTACAGAAAAAAATTTAATTTGAATAAAATTTCTTCATTATTATTTTACAGAAATTATTTGTGAATGTTTTTTTTCCTTTTAAAAATATAAATCTGTTTATCTTTTTAGAACTTTATTCTTCCATTACAGTTACGAAGTAATATCTTACAATGTAAGCCCCAAATGAGGGATATTTTGAAATGTGCTACAAAGTTGAACAATCTGACATCTTGCTGCTCTCAACGGTAATTTATTACAGAAATGTTCTTGCACGAATTCATATTTCTCGATCAAAGCTAACTTTTAACTTCAAAATTTTCCCCTCTTCAATTTTACACTCATTTAAATTATAAATAAATTTTAGCTTGACCCATTAAACGTTATTATTTCCTATTATTGTTGTTATTTCTACTAATTCCATTATTAAGTAATTATTGAAATTTTCAGCAATGTTCCGGATGGATGCCTCAATGTTTGCGATGGATCAGGGCGAATGAGCTTAAGCAAATTAAGCATTTCTTGCTTGCAATATTCCGAACCAATTGTTCGTTGTTTCGGAGAAAATTTGCTATTTCATAGGAAGAATACATTAGTTTTTGGAGCTTCAAAGCGAATGCGAATGAATTAATGAGAAATGGTAATGTTCGCGAATGATATTTGCATATTATTCACATATTTACGGCATATTATCAATTTCAAATTTATCTATTTTAATAAAATGTAAATGAATTTACTTTTAGATATGAAATAAAAGATTAAAATGTTCGATTTTGCCTATCAAAGAAAAGAATCAATTTTCCCTCTTTTTAATTTCCTTTTTACTCATATCTAGCATAATTAGAAATAAAGGTTTTATTTAAAATTTGATAAATTTCAAAAAAAACACAGGCACACACAGAGAACACATCAAGATTTATCCGTTTTCCTCAAGCTTTCATCTCATCATCCAAATTTATATTTAATTAGAGCACTTTCAATCAAATAAATTTAAAGTAGCTTTTTTTCCACATTTCATAAAG